CCTCAGGAGCTCATGTTGATGTTGGCTTGGAAGGATTGTACACATTTGTATTGTAAAGTTGAATTTCAGGTACTTTTTGTTAGCTTAGTAATTTATGACAACTTTTAGCTATTAAATCTTCCCTAGACATAGGTCTATACCTGTCATCATTCCCCTCTTGTGTTTTTATTTTAATACTGTTCAAAGCACACCACCTATTATTGGAATTTTTGATTCTCAATAGTACTTTTGAGATGTTGTATAGAATGATTGCAGAGCCCTTAGGAAATGGTTATGAATTGCTTTTACTATTGTGGTCTTTTAACTTTCAAAAAGTGTTTCGAAAAGGCACTTAAATCCATGGGTGGAAACCTATTTACATCCATTATTGCTGATTATTTACTGTTCTAATTTTAGTTAAGTAAACCATTTGGGACAATGCCTTCCATGTTAATTTTTCCCCTTTATATTTTGTACTTCTTCCTTAGTAATCAGATTCTCTTATTTCTTATCAATTATACGCAATTGGCAATAGTTTGCCAAAAGTCATATACAGGTGATTCCTTAGAAGGTGGGATTTTGAAACTATTTCTATTGCTTTTTATTGTTTTGGAATTTAAAATTCTATTTTAGGGCCGGAGAAGTGCCGAGCAATATGCAATGGAAATTCTCATATGGATTTATCAATCAGGCCGTCAGGCCCTGACAGTCAGTCAGTGTTTAACGATAGAAGGACACTGTTCATTTTAAACCTTTTTAAGGCTGATCTAGCTGATCACTGCCTATACCTGATTGTTCTGTGTCCATTTCCTACTAGTGGTCAGGTACAGCATTTTCAATATCACTGCTGCTCATACATATTAATTTTCTTCCCCTATGATAAGATTGTACCCATTACTTACTTCTTAAACACAAGCAAAGTGTTAATTTAAATCAATAACTATTGCTTCTGTGGTTATTATTTCCCAGAACTCTCAGGGTTCCTTAGTATGATGGTTATTCTTTTCCAGGAATAGTACCAACTCTCTCCAGTAGCATGCACTTCCATCTAATTGACATTATTCCTCACCCTCCATTTCCCTTAGTATTGAAAAGGGTATTTCATTGGTAATTTGCCAAAGATCCCGCTCTGTTTCATAATAATGTTCTGTTCGCACTCTCTGCACTGAGGAATACCTATTCCATGCATCAATTGCATAAATGGCAATTTGAACGCATTTTACCACAGCTGGATATTTCTCATTGATTCTTTTCATCTGAAGATCATTCAGCAGGATTCTCCCTTCTGTTTCTTTTTACATTTATTGCGCCTTTCCTCCTATATACACAGGGCCTCTTGCATTTGCCATCGTTAGAAGTAAATTGCTGACTGCAGTTATTCTTTGACTTTATCCTATGGTCAAAATGAAATCACAAATTTTAAATTTTACTTCTTTTTTTAAAAACTTCATTCCTGACTTGCCCATCCAAATGCATTTTACAATTTGTAGACATTCAGTCTCCTGGTGACTGATTTGTCCAATCTCTTCAAGACATCTGTGCAGAGTTACGGATTATATCGATTGCATTTTGTCCGTGTTTAAATTTGCAGAATGTAACCCACAGAATATATATTGACTAATCAAGAAATGCATCCATGTGGTGGATGATTGTAGAGGGAAGTTATATATTGATATTCAGCAGGCCCTGCCTGCACAAATGAAATGTAGAAAACAGCAGCTTGCCATGTCAGAGTTGCAAATGAAGGCTTTGGCTAGAAAACACAGTCTGGAATGTATAAAAGGTACATTCATTCATATATAAGAAGTGAAAAATTGATGTATCATATATAGATGCCTTAATTTTTGTATAACATTGTTGAGGCACTATATTTAGGCATGCCACTCTGAGATTTTTAGAAATAGAAGCACCTGAATTTACTTTACTTTCACTTTATCTGGATTTACTTTACCCTGGATTTACTTTAAAATGGAAGGGGGAGTGGAGAAGAAACTGTCTATACATGTCAAGATGGAAATGGAGGAAGAAAGAATTGAACAAGGAAGGGAGGGAAAGAAGGGGAGAATTTCAGTAATGCATTATTCATCAACCTATACTGGCATATAAAATCATGTTTCAATCAGTCTACAATTTTCATTGTATGATCTTTGAAAGAATAAGTCTCTCTCTCCATGAACTGTTTGGTATAAACATTTACCCATGTCTAATCAGTACTCTGCAAAACAGCTTGATCTATATTTTCATTTTCATAAGATCACTGAAGAATCACAGGAAAGGCTATTTTAGGCAATGAGCATAGACAGTGATTCCAAAATAGAATTTGAGAAATGCAAGAATAGGTGGAGTCACAAAAGATGATCTCATTCACAATGTTTTCTGCCCTACAAAAAGATTTCTCTTTAATTGGCATCATTTCAGTGGCTTCCATTTTTCTCAGAAGTGTATTTGATTTGTATTTTTCTACCATTCTGGCTTTTCTTTCAATACTCAATATTGGGGAGCATTGATGTTTAGTAAAGGAATGATTTTCAAAAGCTCCTTGATATCCAACTTGGAATATGTTTCCTGATTGAAAATTATATAGGTAGTTTTTATTCATGTACATAAAACTAGGATTTTTATTATTGATACTATTTCTCAATCATAGATTTAGTGTCATGGGTGATCTAGCTATGCTGTTTTGTTAAAAATCATTAAAATGAATCACATAATTGGAAAACAGATCAAGATACTTTGTGTTGTCATCAGAAATGATTTTCTTCTGTTCATATCAAGTTCAGTGTTGCCATCATATAAATATAGCATGTTAAAATAGCAGGATTCTTATTCTCTGACACTTTATCAGAGAAGCAAGATTATAAAACTGTTATGTTTCTCATTATAATTCTAGCTTCATTTGCTCTCAAACATTCACTTCGGTGCGTAATATTAAAAGCTTTCAAATTTATTTTCTGACAATTCTAAAAGCAATCTTTCTATATCTTTTCTGCACAATATTAGCATTTGTTTTCCTTTCCAATTTTACTAGGTGGTTTGGATGGCTATTGATACCCCCTCTTTGCTTGCCAACAGGAATCTAAAGCCAAAGAATTCAAATTACTTCCCTGTGTTCATACAACCAGTTACTCATGTAGTCAGAGATATGGCCCAAGCTGTATCATTCTTTCTGAGATATTCCCTCAAACTCAACCTATAGTTCTTTATTTCTGTTCTCAGAATGGTCATCCACTAATCCTGCCTGCCTGAGATCCAGTGAATTGGCACATCCAGTTGATTATGAAGCTATAATGTCTTTCACCTCATGCTATAATTGCCTAGGATATGGCCATACTCTGCACACCAACCTTCTCATACTAGTCCCTCTCTGTCCAATGTACACTTTGCAGAACAGCCTGCAGACTCACATCGCTCTGCCACTTGCTAGCTTTGTAGCACTCAGTGTGCTAGGGAAACTCTTTAAGCCTGTTTTCCATCTATAGCACTGAGGTATAAAATGAGCCCAGAGGCTGCTTGTGAGGATTACATGAGATAATGCATGAAAAGTGTTTAGCACAGTGCTCGTCCTTTAATAAGACCTTAGTAAATATTAATTTGGGGAAAATAATCTGATGTTGTAGTAAGAGAGCAAGACAAGAACAAGCAAACTACAGGTCTCAGAGCAAATCCGCCATGCATTTGAACGGTTTTTTTTATTTTTTTCTTTAGTATTGTTTTGGCACAATGTCTGGGTAGTTCAGGCTGGCCTTGAACTCCTGATACTTCGATCTTTGCCTCCCAAGAGCTAGGACTACAGGCATGTACTCTCCTACCTGGTGAAATTTAGGTTCTTATTTTTCTTTTTTGCTTTGTAATAAGGTATCTAAAAGTACTTTTTACTTATTTTTTGAAAATGCACAAGAACACAGAAGATTATGATGAGGACTCATATGTTCTATAAAGCCTCAAAGAATTGCTTTATAACACTGTACCAAAAAAGTTTACTAATTTCTATGCAGTCTTTAGAAACTGTGTGACATTAAAAGGTCACAACCACTTCAAGTCTTGGTTTCCCCAACTATGAAAAGTGCTCATCTTACCAAGTTTTTGTTTTGTTTTGTTTTTTTATTTTTTGCTCTCCTATTTCCTGTGCCACTACTGGGGCTTGATCTCAGGACCTGGGCACTCCCCCTTACCTTTTCAGCTCAAGGCTGGGATTCTACCACTTGAGGCACAGCTCCAGTTCAAGCTTTTTGGTGGTTAATTGGAGATAAGAGTCTCATGGATCTTCCTGCTTGGGCTGGATTTGAGCTAGAACCCTCAGATCTCAGCCTCCTAAGAAGCTAGGATTACAGGTGTGAACCACCAGTGTCTGGTTTACAGAGTTATTCTAAAATTTAATATTAAGTGCTTAGCTCACTTGCTTATTACTATTTAGTAAATGTTTGCTGACACTGAAATACAAACTCATTGTAGCAAGATAAATATTATGTAAGTCCAAAGCCTTGAATGTAATAGTCAATTGCTCTACTTCTGAGGTAGACCTGCAGCCTTAAGTGCAGTTTTAGTAGTGACTTTTCTCCTGAAATTTTTGAGCAAGGTTTCTATTTCATATCCTATTAAACAAATATTTCAGCCCGGTATAGTGGAATAACCTTGTAATACTAGGACTCAGGAGGCTAAGGTGAGAGGAAGGCAAATTTGAGTCCAGTCTGAGCTACAAAGCAAGACCTCGTCTCAAAAGAAAACATTACACGTTGACATCTAATAAATATTTCCAACAATGACTAAAATCATTGTTCTTTTTAAAGCAACAGAAAAACCTTAGCAGTAGCTAATCTAAACTCATAGATAAAGAAACAAACAGTCAGAAAAATTGTGCTTTCTGGAATATAAAGTCGGATTCAAGTAGTGTAATCTGCCTTATGCTTTTTCCTTGCAGTGTAATAATTGAAAGTGATTGGGAATCATTCATCTTCCTCCAAATATGGGACTCTGCCCTATAAAATCCTTTTCCATTCATTATTCAAATCCAGTTTGAGTAGCTCTGGCTGTTTCTAAGTCCCCGTAATAAATAGAAATTGGCTTTCCTGAATTTTCTATATATTGATCTGTTTGTGCTCACTAGAGTCAAAGAGAAATGTCACTTTTCTATGTCTTTAAATATTTGCTTTCTCCAAGCATCTTTTCTCATGCTATCATGAACAAGATGGGTTCTCTTTGTTTGCCTGTTTATCATTCTGCTGAATTAAAGAGCTAAAGAAAACTTGGCTCTTCTATCACTGGTGTATACACCACGACAAACATGAGTTCAGAGGATACACTCTAAACAATGCTCTTGTAAATATTTTCAATTCAATTTGAATTTTCTGCTTCTCTCTCATTGTTTCTTATAATACCTACTGCCAAGACCTCTTCCTTCCTTTTGGTCTTTCTCTGCAAGAGTTACCAATGATTTCTTTCAACACAAGTTATCCAGAACTGAGTTACTATTCCAGATCTGGTATGAGCTATAAAAATGATTATGTTTCCTACAAATCGTACTACAGTCAAATATATTTTGTCTTTTGTATTGTTGCCTCTATTAATGACACCACTGCAATTAGAAAAGTTGGGATCAACCCAAATTCTTCTCTGTCACCCTCCATCATATCCATCCGTACTTGTCTGGCCGTTCTTTGCCTCTCTTTTTCCTCTCTCAGATCTCCCTTGTTCTTTTTTTTAAATCTTCTATACCTAGGGCTATTCTTTGCCTCCAACTTGGTATCCATGAACTGACAATTTGGGCCAATCTACCCATCTAACCTTCTCTCCCAAACCCTCCATGCCCCACCTTGACTGTTGTTTCGCCCCTAACCCTAATATCACTTCTTTCTGCTGCTTCATGCCTTGGCACACACTCTTTCTATGCTTAGAAAGTCTACTAGGTTGTAAAATTCCTATTGCTCATTAAATTCTGAAGTTCTACATTGCAATGATTTTATTCTTCCAGGCTCTCAATTCAAATCCCAATAACATCATTTATCTTCCCTGTAACATCAGGCAAGTTATGTACTACACCTGTTTCCTCATCAGTAAAATGGTGATAATAACACAGGTTGTAGTAAGGATTCAGTGAGATGGAAACATTTAATTCTTCATAGCACTATATATACTATGTGTGTTGTATCATAGCATTAGCTGTGTTTTAGTATTTTCTTTCTGTTTTAGCTATAATCAGTACCAGCTATTATTCATTATTCTTAGTATATCTATAACTCAAGTTATACTTCCTCTTCCCTAGACAGAGCCAATTGACCCCTTTTATATCTTTATTAATTTTTTTGTCCATACTTTAAAAAAACTGATCCTTTTTTTTTGTAAAATCTGCTATCTTCATTCATAATATAAATCTCAGGTTCTCTGAACTTATGCATATCCCTGACTTTCACATTTTCTTTGGGAATCACTTATTAATTATCCTTGCCATAACCTCGTCAGCCTCATGCTTTTGCATCATATTTTCTGTGTCATGATTCTGAAAGTGCCATCCTGTTCTCTCTCCCTCTCCATCTCAGGCTGTTGCAAATAGCTATGCCCTCTTCCTAAGTCAGAAGCACATTTGCATTTTGCTTAAACAACATTTCTCAATTTTACAGCATTTATGAAGGAGACAATAGAATCTCTGAAAGATGCAACCGTTAAAGAGATGAACTGGTCAGTTCTTTGAAAGCACTGCCCATAAAGTCCACAAGCAAGCAAGGCATCCATGTTAGAAGGCAATTCAATCACCATAAATGATCATTCAGGCCTGGTCTCCTTCTCCCCTGGATTGGGAATAGAAAGCTTATTTCTCTAACAGTTGCATTGTCATTGGATATGCCCAGTGTACAGGGCAAAGACACATGTACTCCATCAAAAATTTTGAGTCCTCCTGAGACCTCATTTGGGGCTCTCAGTGAGACTAAATGAAAATTGAACCCACATCCTACTGAAAACTCATCTTTCTGACATCAGCAAGGAAATAAAATGCCCATAGTCAATGACGTCCTAATTCGAGTCAACTACCCTTAGCTCTGATTGAGGGGGAAAAAAAAGTCAACTACTTAATCAGTATGTTGCAAATGAAGTAGCCCCATCAGAACTGAAGCCCTAAAATTTTGCAAGTGTTGATTTTCTTTTTTTTTTTTATGGGTCCGGTCATGGGGCCTGAACTCTGGGCCTGGGCGCTGTCCCTCAGCTCTTCAGCTCAAGGCTAGTGCTCTACCACTTGAGCCACAGCGCCACTTCCGGCTTTTTTTTGCTTTTGCTTATGTGGTGCTGGGGAATCCAATCCAGGGCCTCAGGCATGCAAGGCAAGCGCTCTACCACTGAGCCACCTTCCCAGCTCCACAAGTGTTGATTTTCATAGGACAAACCTTAAGTCCAGTTTCCTTTCTTAATGTAATTTGATTCCATCTCTCTCTTTGTTTTAAGGTAAACAAAGTAAGTTTATTTGAAATTGAATGGGAAGCTGTGAGACTAAAGTAATAAGACTCATTTGGAGAGGGGACCCAAAGAGGAGTCTCATGTATTTCACTCTCTTTTTTAAATTTTATTTTATTGTAAAGATATTAAAGATATACAGAGGGATTACAGTTACATGAGTAACACTCTCTGTCTGTCTGTCTGTCTGTCTGTCTGTCTGTCTGTCTGTCTGTCT